ACCGTTGATACGTCACAAAATCGTTACACAATTGATGAAATTTTTTTTATATTATTTTACAATACTTTTTTGGAAGGATCGCTCGGCTTACCTTTTCTATGAATATTGAAAATGGTTAAACAAACATTAAGCTCTCATTTTACTTTACAACGAATTTTTTGAATCCCATGGTTTCGTCTTTTTGTAAATTTCGCAATTTGATTGGTTGACTAATCCCGTAGCGATATTTTGACTGGTCGATACAATGAGTGACCTGTGTAATGGAGAATGAAAATCATATCTATATTTGGACGGTTTCTCCTGTTGAAAAAGTCCATTCGGACTTTCAATTATATTTTGTGTACTATGGAAAATTTATCATCATGAAAGATTTTCCATAGACGGCTAACTGTACACAAATATAATTGAAAGTCCGAACGGCCTTTTCCTTTGGTAGCACTCATATAGATATTGAAAAATTTTCGTCGTTTGTAGGAAATGCGTTTACTAAACCTTAACGATATAAGTTATCTTAAAACTTTAATGGAAAAAAATATAATTGGTATTTATACGAGTTAAATTAAAGATGAAACTTTGGTTAGACGTAAAATCAGTCTTACGATATTTTTGAAGGGGTGTACGTATATTAACTACATATATACAAACAAAAGGTAATATTTATTTAAATACACTTTTTCTTTTTTTAATATTTGCACCAATTTTGTAAACGTCTAATTTATATCCAAAGCCTTTTTACTGTTTTTTGCTAAGGTTTATTTGTTGACAAGAGCAGTTCTTCCATAAATTTTCATACTAACTAAACACGCTAAACATGTTGATATGTATTCAAGAGAAATTTTAATAATATTTGAATATGTTGACGTTCTAACGATCTGTAAAACATAATATAAAAGCAACTTCTATAGTGTTAACTTAATCGGATCGGCCGAAAAATCACTCAGAAATTTGGGGAATGGAGTAGGAACCACTCTTCGTTATTAGCTGTCAAAGGGTTTTTCCTAGTCCATTCTCATTTAGGTGTTTCAGAAATTATGAAAACAGCTTAATGAGTTGAATATCTAGATATAGCATGTCGGATAAATGGATGGTGGATTTACAACCGTCATCAAAATGCCAAGATTTTCGTATCCTAATTTATTCAAGATAATCCTATTCAATTCTACTGATATATTAAATTATTATGAAAAAATGTGGGATTGGCAATTTTCGTCTAGATAAGAGTTATTTTTAAATTTTCACGCGTAAGATCATAATAATTCAATAAACTCATGGATGTCAATCTTCTCAAAAAAAAAAAAAAAAAAGATAGGTTTGGCAATTTTCGTCTATATAAGAGTTATTTTTAAATTTTAAAACGTAGCATCGTCATAATTCTAATAAGCCCATGGATGTCAATCTTAAATATATATATATATATAATATATTCCTATAAAGGTTTGCCCGTTATTTAGGTACACTCTTCGTGAATTTGTAAAAAATATTATTTTTTAATACAGCGCTTCGTATACTCGGATTTTAATATAAAAACTGATTATGAAAATGATTCAATTTTATTCAAAACTTAATATATGCCTTATACTCTTTGTGGCACTACTAGCAATTATTTTGCCATCTTCAGAATCACAAAAGACCGATCCCAAATCCAAATGCAAGAAAGTATCCAAAGCAGCCGACAAAAATAAATTAATTGAATATAATGTTGCTAAGGAATGCATTGAGAGCTTTCCTTTTGATGCTAAATTCGCTGAAGATGTAATCATTAATATTTCTTGTTGATTTATTAAAAATTTCATAATTTATGTTAATTTTTTTTTTTTTTTTTTTAAACAAAGACGATTGATGCTGTGTCACACTTCATGTCACATTATTATGCTTTCCTTGACGAGGCCAATGAAGATCCACCAAAGGGATTTACTTATCAACGTGTAAACATAATTAACGAATTAGAGTTGTTACGTAAAAAACCTTTTAAATCAGATTACGACTTTACGGTATATATATTATAAATAAGCACATGTACTTTACAATTTATTAAAAAAAATGTTAACATTAAAGTTTTAAATTAACTAGACAGCTTTAAGAAATACTATTTTCAAATTAAAAGATGGCCA